TAAAAGATGTTTCATTATCTTCAGCTACAGCTTACAATACATTATTTACTCTTTCTTCATTGCATGGTTTATTTCTGAATAAGACTTGTTTCATAAACGCACAATACTGCTGAAGATTTGTAGTTATTCTTCAATAAATTTTTGTGCTCAGTTTCAATAGCATTACTATAAAATAAGATATTTTAGCATATCGCAACTTCTCAGCAGATGAAAAAGCAGGTTGAAACATTGAAACATTATAAATTTAATAAATACCCTTTTTGTGATTTAAACAATATAGAATCATACTTTGTCGTACATCGGTGTATTCGTAATTAACGAAAAGCCGTACTTAATAGTATATTAAGCAACAAGTGCGGTAAACGGCATTTGACTCACTAGTTTATTAGACACGAGCGGAGCACATTTTCGCAAAACACGAATACATTCACTGACATGACTGTCAGAATTGACAAACGTCAAAATTGAAAGCGTGGGAAATATCTCCGAAAACATCCGATTGCTCCCAAACCCGTGCGGTAAAATCCCGGAAATGTCCGAAGTGGCTCAGATTCGTGGGAAACGAAACTGACATGGTAAAGCGACGATTCCCGCACACTAGATCGGTGCGCAATTAGGTATGTTACAGACGTGGCTTTAATTTTTTTATATCTCTGTAAACAACACCAAAAAAAAATCAAAAGTCATGGCATTTTTTTAGTTTTCTTAGAAACGCGTTTTTCACCTTTCAATTTTGCAACTCTTTTCTAATTTATCCATCTTCGTATCTTTACTGGTTTCCAGTCTCTCCTTGATAGAGTCTAGAATGTTCAACTTTTTGGAAAAAATTCTCCAAAAAAAAAACAGATTTTTTTTCCTTAAAATTACTTACTGGTCTGTACCAGAACAAGAAATCTAGAATCGCAGAAATACTTTGTTCACAAAAGAACATTCCTTGCAGTTCATTTTCGAAATCTGTTTTGATGGTGCTGCCCCGCTCACAAAATCGTTTTTGCGTTAGCAACCCTTCCGTGAAGGGTTCTCTGCATGAGGAGGAGGGGGGTGGGCCACTCTGTTGCTTTTAATGAGCTTGCGTAGCAATTTACCAAATTGAAATAAATCGTCCGAAAAAAAGAGCAGATTAAATCGCGGTAGAGGAGAGAAAGGCGGTGAAGTTTCGGCCTTCTTTTGTTTTCGCCCGTCAACTCGGTCAGTGGCAACTAGATTAAATTACGATTTGAATCGGAGTAATCCGCTCGAGCTCGAAAGTTGAGGGCCGAATTATCGAAAGTTGTTTCACGCAGGGGTCTTCTCCGATTGTACCGCAGTTTTATATTTTTCAAGCCGGGTAGAATGTTTTTGTTTCTTTGTTTTTTTCCCGGTCGAACAGTTTTGATTAATGTTTAGAGATTTGCTGATTCTGCTTTAGAATCAAGTTCATTCATTTTAACAATGGGTTAAAATCATATAGCTACTAGACATATACAACAACTCATGAAGCAACTATGTAATTTTTTTTTTGAGAAGGTCCATTCAACGTGCCCGTGAGCGATCTTTAAAATTTCGTTTTTAACCAATGGCAGCTCTAATTGTAAATTCTAAAGTTGGACCCATAAGACCGTGCGGCTTTCAACAAACAACATGGCCGCTGACAGATCGTCGATGATTGGATGCGGCATTTTTACGACAATATTTTTTGAAAAGATGTGGAAATCCTAATTAATTTTCAGGCAAAGGAGTTAAGGTCTGAAAAAGCAGTGCAGAATTGCAGCACCCACGTCAGCGTCAGTATTATTCTGTAATTAATTTGACGTTTTTGTTCTTCAAGCCCTGTAGATACGATGCATTTTCTACATGTATTTTTTTATGTAAGCTATTTTTTTTGTAAATCGGCGCAAAGCGTTAGTTTTCATAAACTCATAGCTTTAACCTCCATTTAAATAACTTTGAGATGTTAGATATATTAGAAAAATGTTCAAGAAGCTATACACAGTAATTGACAAAGGATATTTCTTATACTTGTTCTACATATTACCCAAACATCCTTCGTAGCTATTTAAGTGTACCTAAAAATGTAGGGAATTGTCACTTTTCCAGTTTGTTAAATGTCAAATATATAGGCAACACTGTTTTTCTAAGATCCTATTAGGTCCTCATATTTGCCACATGTGGTATAATTTTTTGAAAGAACAAAGCATTGAAAGCACAAATTATACAGGTTTGTGAATGCCGTACTTAGATATTGACACCAAAAATATAAACAACGGCACAGGGCACAGGCTTAAACATTTTTTCAGAAAAATTACAGCAACGTAGCAACTCAGTCTCTCTACGAAAAAATCATAGCCACCTGCGGTGCATCAATTTTTACCGTAGTAGGGCCACATCTTAAAATCCATAAAACCTTAACCTTACTCTTGCATTAAGTTATATGTATTGTTATGTATTATAATATACTAATTATTGTACATTGATTCATTTTTTTAATTCGATATTTCATTTATTCAATTTGTTCAATTAAGCAGTTCTGTGTGATATTCTCTAATAGTTGATTTAATTGATAAATTAAATCCTTGTATTCAAAATAAAAGATATTGGGATGCAAAATTGAAATAACTTCATTATTAGGTGCATTGTTCTAAGGAAAATTTCCAGAATACTACAAAAAAAATCTTGGAAAGTGGAAGTAAATTTTGAAGATATTTTTATGTCTACCTATGACTGATTTTGGATAGTAAGTAAGAATGGTGCAAATCGAAATTGTGGAACTTACTACTAGTCCAAAATCTGTACGCCATATTGCACCTTTCGAGTTCGGAGAAATAAAAGCTTGCATATTCCATAAAAAGGAGATCCTTTTCCTTAATTAAGGAAAAATAATTCCCAGAAATAGCAGCTAAATAATAAATCATCGAGCGAGATAAACAAGTCGTTAATTTTTGATTACCTTTTTCTGTTTCGGCTGCGGTCCGCCCCTTCTATCCCCCCTCAACGACACGAAATCGTTTATAAATTATATTATTTATGAATCCGGCTTTCAGATTCGTACCGATACGAATTTTTTTACACGTTAGGGGGATAATTTGCGTGATGGCGCTTTCTTTCGCAGTAACTTTTAGTTTTAAACGTAAAATTTATGATGGCTAAAAACATCAGGTGCAGACAAAAAAATAAATAATAATTACCTTAAAATAACATCGTAAAAATGTCCAACTACGGATGCTAGCAAAATTCAATAGCATACTAATATTTACGTAGATATTACAGGTTCATATAACCACTAAATACGTAACATCCCTACAAATCCAGGAATATAGTTTGTTTTCATGTTTCATTTATAATTTTGAATGCCGCGTACTAAATTCATAAAAAGTTATAAAAAGCTTACGTAATAATTTATGTAGAATTTTTTAAAATTTGTTAAACATTAAATGAATTAAAAGTTTTATATTAAAGGTTGCTCTTTTAAAGCAATTATATTTTCTTGGTTATTCTGTATAGTGGAAAATGTTTATTTGTTGTATGTTTCGTAATCCGAAAAGCATTGACAAAAAAATATATTCCCCAATTATTGTTGTATTATTTATTTTTGGTTTAAAAAAGAACTTTTTAAAGTAATTGGTGTAATTTGGTTAATTCTTAAGGGACGTAATTTTGTTGAATTGCGCAATTCTTCTGCGCACACAAGAATACACATGTGTCAAATGCGTCAAATTGTAATGGCAGTTTACTATTTGCAACATTTAGAATAATGTATATAATTTTTTTTTTGTTTTGTAATATAATTAAAATTTTGAAATTTTTGTCTTCGTAGTTTTAAACAATGTTTCTTGTTGGTTTTTGTTCATCTGGATATTTTGCAGCAAATGTCCATGTTCATTCTTAGATATTTTTAGACTTATTTACCACATATGATATATAAAATTATAAAAAAATATAGATAAGTGAGTAAAATGGTAATCTTGTTTAGCATCTTTACAATGAAATATGTCATTGCTAATACTTCGAAATCTGCAACGTTTGAAAATATTAAGCCGAATATTATATTATATTATAGTATAGTATCTATTATGCGAAGTCGTCCTCCCTTTAAACGCTAAATACCGTAAAATTATAAAAGGGAGGTGTTTTTATTTGAATAAAATTACTTCTAACAATTTTTAATACAAATTTTTAATGTTACCTTTCAGCCATCCTGTAATAATTTATTTTTTAAATATAACACCAAAGTAGTCCTCTTTGTATAAGGAAACCAAACCCAGATATATAACAATTAGTCTATGAAATCTCAAAGAAATCGATATGTAGATATTTAGACTTGCAAACGTCACTTTTGACATAAAATTCAAAATATATAAGAAAAATCTTGAATACATTCTATTTAAAATAAGAAGGTTATCACTTTTCTATATATATATTCTTTAATAAAATAAAATATAAACGCGCCACAAGTACCTCTATGAAGAGCAGTAAAATTAAAATTTAAGTTCGGATAATGTATCAAATGCCGAAATTTTATTTCGAATAAAATTCTAGCTATTGCCACGATTTGCACATACGTAAAGAATAATTCTAGCAAATAAAAACGCTTGTTTAAATTTCAGTCGAAATTAAAACTTCATAGTAATTTTGCACTGTACAAAGGGGGAGACTTTAGCGCTCATTTTATTTGCTATTTAAAGACAAACAGGTAGAAGTAAAACTCTTACGAAAGCCTCTTTTGTGCTTTTTATACGTGAGGCAAAAGCCGCCTTCCTTTTAAAAGGGCATAAAACTTTTTTCCCGGGTCATTCGCCAAAGCTGTATACAGACTACGCACCGAGGAAGAAATTAAAAGGAAATAAAAATTTTACGCGTTTTGAAATTCACGCCCTCGAAACTTCCGAGGGACATTTTTCCCGAACGGGTTCTCTGGAAACGGAGGCAGATAGACCCGTTGATAAATTCGTTACGGCATTTGTCTTAATTTTTTTAATTCTATTGTCACAGTAAACGTAACTTATTTTGTGTTTTTTTTTCAGATCGACCCGAAAGTAGCGTTCCCTAGGAGAGCACATCCAAAGGTAAGAAACGTGTTCGAAACAGAACGGAAATAATGAATTATGAAAAAGTATACTTGCTTAAATATAAAAGATATGGAGCTGACAAAAAAAATCAAATCCAAGAGCATCTCTTGACCATGTCAAAAATTCCTCTCGGCGTTGCAGTTTTTAAAGCCATAATCAACATTTTTCTGTGATTTCAGTTCGCAGTAACTGTATAACCGCATGTTCATTCGCAATTCAATTGGTAATCTAAAGGTGATTTTAGAAGTGTTTTTTTTTCAGAATAATATCTGTTTTTTTTCTTCGAAAAATGTCAAAACTTATTCCAATGCCAAATTTTAAAAAATGGTTGTGGTGACTAAATGACCAACATCACACGTTGTTTGCAAAATTGTCAGTTTAGCATTATTACTTCACGGATAAAGTTTGGATCATGTCTTATTCCCCTGGAGTTTTTTCAACTAACTGGTGATAGGTAGTGATTTGAACTATTAATAAAAATCCAGAAATTCAGATCGAAAAATCGATGTGACCATGTTATTGGACCTCCTTGATCTATCCATTTATTTGGTCATTTTCATTTAACCAAGGAACAACTCTTCTTTCTCTATGTGATGTTGCCGCGTCGTGTTGATACCCCATATTCTGCTGTACGCCATCAACAAATTGAAAAAGGTCCTGTTCTTGGATACATGCTGATCTGCACTTAAACCATTATTTATAACATGTACGTGCGATGTGTTGTTGTTTAAAATACTACGTCAAACGTTAACACTGAAACGTTGCTGTTCTAATTGCATATGCATATGCTGTTCCTAGAAAAATACGTTTTATCAGATCACATAACAAGCGAAATGCATCAATCAATTTGCGCTTAATGCTGAAGAAACCAGCTACAAAATTCTAATCATCGATACAATGAAGGTTACTCCAGTAAGATGAATGGTCTTTGTTGGAGCATGATAACGTGCTTCTTGTAGTGTACCAAATTATGCACTAAGCACCATGTGTTTAAGTCGGTGTCTATTTGAATACCGACAGACCTGTGAAAAAATATAGGCTCAAACAAATTTTTATAATTTTTTCAATATTTTATATACTAACTAACTTACCAACATATATGTATAACGTGAAATAGGCGTGATTTAAGAGTTATCGGCTACCGGGACATCATCAATAGCACTGGTGCGTAGATATAATCTAAATTGTGATCCAAGTTTAGTGACAAAGTGTCAATAATGTCTTAGTAAACCAGTCTTGGAAACCCAATATAACAAAAGGCGACTTTTGGAAACACGTGATATTTAGTAATGACAAAAGAAATGTATTCTTGATGGTCTCGATAGATGATGCATTTGAGTTTTGATAGAAAAATTATGTCTCGAAGAATTAAAGGAGGAGGCTCAGTTATGGTCTGAGCCGGTATATGTGTCTCCTAAAAACCGAATTCGCATTTATCGATGTGCGTAAGACTGTTGTTAGTTATCAAGCAATGTTAAATGATTACCTTCTACCATTCATTACTCTGATTGAAGACAAAAATATAATTTTTCAACAGGACTACGCACCCATTCATGTAGCTGTAACTACAAAACGGTGGTTTCAAGACTTTAGTATGCAGTTATTAAAATGGCCAGCAGTTAATCCAGATCTAAATCCGTTAGAGAACATCTTAGATGATCGTAAAAAACTGCGATCAACATTCTCCAAAATTTCAACCGATACATTTATTAAGGAGATAACTGATGGCATGGCTAAAAGACTAATAGAAGTTATTAAAAAAATGGCTGGACGAATTGTTAAGCCAATAAGAGATAAATATAAGCAGTAAGTTTATAATTTTTTACAGTACAAATGTGGTTATTTGAGATTTTTACTATTATTAAAAAAAATAAAAATAATATATTTATACTTTAGTTTATACTTTTTCACAGGTTATGAAGTGTCAATTAAATAAATAATTCGAATGGTTACAACAAAGGAGTGGCAAAATTTATCATAGAACTGGTAATAATCTGTATTATGATCATTGAAGGGTGATCAATCGATGGGTCTTTTATGCCTTACGTTTCTTCAGTGCTAAAGTTGGGGCAACAAGCCTGCCGGTGAAGTCAAAATTTCATGTTATTTCTTCATTTTCGATTGTTATTTTCCACATTTTCGCTTGCACGAATGTTCTTTTAGACATTCACTAAATTTCTGCGCCCGTAAATCAGATTTTCTCCACGTCACTCTGAAACTTCTTGCTATTTGTTAAGCGCAAGAAATTCATCATCAAATACAACGTCTGTTATTCCACGCGCACCAAAAAAGCTTAAGCTGCTAGTAATTAAAGTGGCGTTTTCCGTCGAAATACGAAACGTTCCGGCGTAATAAAAACGGACGAGTGATGCAATGCAAAATACATTTAGGTAAATTACACTTCAGCAGATAACTACCGCGCAGTAAGGGAAATAATTATGAAATGAACTCCTTAGAAAACGAACAAGGGAACTTCACGGATTGTGTATTTAATTTAAACGAGGCCGTTCGTTCTACGTCTTGCCCGTCACCGAATAAATACCCTTTTGTACGCGGTTTGTATAGTCCATTTCACGAAGTAAGAGGATGACTGGCTGCCGCTAACCGATAAAGGCATTAAATGTTGCCGAAGAGTGTTAACTATTATGTTATTTTCTTAAAAGCATTTTTAATAGGACAAGGGTAATGCTCGATATCTTTTCTCCATCTTTATAATTCTTATATCGTATTTGCATTCTCCCTTCGGTTTTCCAGTATTTTCCGAAAACAAAGCCGTTTGTCAATAATATTTTCTAATGGCTTTCACAGTCGCTATTTCTTTGTTCTAGAAATTCCCCGAATCTTTCTAAAATTGCAATTACACTAATTGGTCTGCTTTTCTTTTGCTGTTTTTGCTGAATTATATACATATGTTTTATATGTGAATGAAATTAAGAATCACATCTGCGAAATGTATATAACAGACCACTGAAATAACAGCGAGAGGGTTTAACATTTTTGAACGTATTGAAAATGATCGTCTCACTCGCTGGGCAATTATTCCTGGAACTAGTCTATGGAGATTTTCATATAATTCCGTAATAAAAGCATGTATAACCTATGCTCCTTTAAAATGATTAAGAAATGGTGTTTTTGTAACCGCAAGGGAAAATCTCAGCACTTTTTCACAAATCTTGAAAAAAGTTTTGAGAAAATCCATTGAACATGCCAATACCCAAGATTTAAACCGCTCCATTTAACAACCAACATGGCCAGTGAGTCAATAAGTTTTTGATGCGACATTTTCGCGGCAGTATTTTCTTAAAATATGCCTCGTTAAATATTCCGGGAAAATGAGTAAAGTGTGTGTGGAAAACGCTGTCCCGCAAAATTGGTGAAAGAAATATATGCAGCAAATCAACTCCTCAATTTTTCCCTTAATAAGACCAAGCAAGAGTTTATCGAAGTCTGCTAGGAAAATGATGTGATTTTAAGTGAGAATTTGAACAAATTTAATCAAAATTGAGATCTAGTTTTGAACCCATAGAGTGAGATAGAATTAAGAGACGAACCTTTTAGTAAAATTGTCGAACAAGCTAACTTTAAGCGTTGACTATATCGCAATCGTTTCTAAAAGTTTAATTAATTTTGAAATCGTATAATATACAATCACAAAAATTCTGAATTCATTTTGTTTGAGAGAAAATCAGAGAAATTAAACAAAAGATTGATTGATTGATTTTAAAAGTACTTTAGCTGAGCATTATCAGCATATAGCTTTTTTGCTGCTTTTTTGTGGTAATTCGGAGAAAAGAAGTTACAATCGACCCCAAACATATAGAAAACAAAATCGATATCTCCTCATACAAGCGGTATATTAAATTGAGCAGTTTATATTCATACACAACGAATAACTCTAGGTGGGTTTTATTTTCGTCGCCCGTCTCAGCTCAAAACAAAACGCTTCGCAAGCGCGACTTCCTTTTTTCTCGACGCAACAAAGGCGTAAAACAGGGTAACGGGGGACCAGGCACAACAATTTCCCTCGAAAAATTTCCATGCGCAAGCTAAACTATGGAGGATTTTTAAATTTCAATGTAGAAATTATTCAAAAGTTATATTCCGGGGGAAAAGAGGCAAGGCGTGCGTCGTCGGCCAACTTTTTCGGGATTTTTAAAACAAACACTAACACAATAAGCGATATATAAGGCACTCGAGTTACGTTGTTCGCCGTTGTCGCTTACAGTTTTATTAAAACTTTTTTAATACATAAATACATACGCTTTACGGTTAAACTTGCCGTGTACCTAAGATGTTGCGATGCGAAGCTTCCTCGTCAAAATTTGTTCGTCCAACATCCAAAGTGGAAAAAAGATAATAGCGCGTATTTTTTCGGGACTTTCCCGAGTTATACAGGGTTAGTAACGGTATACTCCACGGAATATTGGAATATATGGAAGACGGACTAAACTTGATGCTTCAACTAAACATGCTAATTTGGCCAATAGTTCAATGTTTTCCTTGGTATTTTTTATTCTTCGAGTCTTACATTTACAGGGCGCTTGTTATTCACAAGGTACTCGTTAAATGTCCTCCCTTGATTCGATATTGCGGGTCAGGTTTTGTCCAAGCCCCAGCACTACTGCGTCTGTTTTACAGACTCAGCATCAAGATGCTTGTTCACTGAACCTTGTCATTTCTCGTTTACGTAACGTGTAACTATTAAGAATAGTCGGAATGATAACTTAGTTACTGATCCTGGCTGCCGTTTTTAGGTTTCCTTGTAAAAGTAGCGGATCAATCAACACACCCTAAAACCAAGACATACTAGACAGGATCTAACTTATCAGTCCAACCATTATTATTCCTATTATTATATTCCAATATTAGAACGGGAAATGTCATTAGAAAAAATAGCAATACGCCCAAATATTTTTTAAAATTATAATCATTAAAATATTTTATAAATCAAACAAATAAAAATTTGTTACGTGAAATGGAACTATTGTTCACACGAT